CTCTGTAGCCCAGACTGGCCTCGAACTCACAGAGATCCACCTGGCTCTGCCTCCCGAGTGCTGGGATTAAAGGCGTGTGCCACCACTGCCCGGCCTAAATGAGTATTCTTTAGAGACGGTCGGTGTACTCTTGAGAATTAAAAAAAAAATGATGTCACTGGCCCTGGTGGCGCACGACCTTAATCCCAGCAACGGCACTTTTGGAGGCAGAGGCAGGAAGACCTCTGTAAACTCAAGGCCAGCTAGGACAACATAGAGAGGCCCTGTCTCCAAAGAAAACAAAAGGGAGAGAATGTATATGTTCTGAAGTGTATCTACAGGTTTCCTTAGCTTTTTTTCCAAAAATCAACCTTTCTTTTCAACTTTTATGGTAGAGTATTGGTTACTTTGCCTGATCACAAGTGAACCCAGTAAAAGGCCTGGCTTTGAAATAATTAACTTTGTATTTAATTAACAAAGTTGTGCTTGCCTCTGATTTAGAATGTGACCACAAAGACTTAGGAAAAGTTTTCAGTATAGATTTCAGTATAGAATTAAGAACAAAATTAACTGGTTGCACATGCCTTTAATCCCAGCACTCGGGAGGCAGAGCCAGGCAGATTTCTGTAAGTTCGAAGCCAGCCTGGGCTACAGAGCTGAGATCCAGGACAGCCAGGGCTACACAGAGAAACCCTGTCTCAAAAAAAGAAAAAAGAAAAAAAGAAAACCAACTCCTGTAAATAATTTTTTTCAGGGCTGGGGAAGTCTATTAATAAAGGACTTGTCTAGAATACATTACGTCCTGACTTGATCTCCAATATTGCACAGAACAGGGTGCATGCCTGTAGGATTGAGGGAAAACTGTGCTGGGGATTTTATAGTGTTTGTTTTGACAACATCTCTATGACTTCTCATTGCCTCACATATCTCTGAAGTAATAGACTCTACAATTTAAAAGGGGCGAGTGTGGGGATTCAGCTTGCTGCTCTTCCAGAGGTCCAGTATTTACTTCCCAGTTCACCACAGCCTGTAACTCCAGCCCTAGGGGATCTAGTGCCCCCTTCTGGCGTTTACAGCTACCTGCACACATATAGTGTATATCCACAAGAACATAGGCCATACATAAAAATTAAAAAAAAAAATCTGAAAATCTCAAGGTGGTGGCTCAAGCCTGTAACCTCAGCATTTGTAAGGAGGAAGCAGGATCAGGGGTTCAAGGCTGGCTTTGCCTACATGGTGAATCAAGACCAGATTGGCCTGTATGAGATCGCTACTAAAGGACAACCCCCAAGCATGTTGGCGCACACCTTTAATCTCAGCACTGGGGAGTCAGAAGCAGGTGGGTTTCGGTGAGTTTGAGGATAACCTAGTCTACATAATGAGTTCCAGGCCAGTTGGGGCTACATGGTGAGACCGTGTCTCAAAATAAATAAAATAAAAAATAGTTATCTTGTTTAATCACCTCTTTGGATTATAATTTACTTTAAATTATTTAAATGAACATTCTTCTAGCATGGCTGTGTTTTATAATATACATCGAGCCTGAAGATGTAATTTAGAACGTAAATGATATTCTTTTTGTCTCTTACTTCAGGCCCCATTAAATGATCCCTGTGCGTGTGCCTCTTTTATGGGATTGAAACATTCCACCAGTAAATACCATCTCGTCCGAGCAATCCTGGAGTCAATAGCTTTCAGGTAAAACCTGCCAGGACTCCCTCTGCCATCTTCATACTGTGTCATGTCCTTTAGATCTGCCGCCAAACTGAACTCTTCTTTTCTGATGGAAGGATTCTTTTCAAATATATGTATTTCTTTAGTTTTGTGTGTATATGGGAAGCGCTTGAATATATGTTTGATATGCGCTGCATTCATGTAGAAGTCCTCAGAGGCCAGAAGATGTGTCCGATCCCCTGGAATTGGAGTTACAGACAGATGTGAGCTGCTGTGTGGGTGCTGGGAACCGAACCCAGGTCCTCTGCAAGAGCAGCCAGTGTTCTTCAACACTGAGCCGTCCCTCCGGCTCTTGGAAGGTTGTTGTTTTGTTTTGTTTTGTTTTGTTTTGTTTTGTTTTGTTTTGTTTTGTTTTGTTTTGTTTTGTTTTGTTTTGTTTTGTTTTGTTTTGTTGAGACAGGGTATCATACTGCTCAGGCTAGCCTGGAACTCATCTTGCAGCCCAGGCTGGTTTCAAAATCATGGCAGTCTTCTTGTTTGGGGTACCTAGTACTGAAATTACAGGTGTGAGCAACTTAATCTTATAAAATGAAAGAGAGGCTTTACTTCACTTTGTTTATTTCAGAATGTTTATTTTATAACTTATTATTTGTTCGTGTGTTTGGGTTGTGTGTTTGTGTACCGTAGCACACATGTGGAGACCAAAAGACAACTAACGCTGTGGAGTCCGTTCTCCCCTCCCACCTTTCTGTGGCTTCTAGGGACCTCACTGAGGTCCCCAGGCTGGCAAGGACCTTTACCTGCTGGGCCACCTTGCTAGCACTCCTAATTTTAATTAAATCATTAAACTTAGGCCTTCAATGTAGTGTGTGTACATAGTTTTAAAATTTTATTTTATTGTATTTTTTTTAATCTAAATTTTATTTTATGTGCTGGATGTCCTGTCTGAATCTCTGTCTATGCATCATATACATTCCTGGTGCCTACAGAAGCCAGAAGAGGGTGTCAGATCCCCTGGAACCGGACTTACAAGCTATTTCGAGCCTCCATTTGGGTCCTGGGACTTGAATCCAGGTCTCTTGGAAGATCAGCAAGTTTTTTAACCATTGAGCCACCTCTCTAGCCCCTCAATTCAGTATCTGGTATACATGATTTAATTTGTTCTTGTGGCTCTATTTGATAATACCAGTAACACTTAGATTTGATACCTAAAAACGGAATGATTTTTTAAGATAGCCCAGGCTGGGAATATAGCTCAGAATAGAGCTTATACTTTGAGCATGTGAGGGTCTGAATTTTGTCTCTCTAATTCTCAAAGGGAGAACTCAAACCAACAACAGTCTGTTACACCCAAAGACTGAATAATAAGATTTATTCTTTATGTGTGTTTCCCTGGTCTCTTGATTATTGGACAAGTGTAGTGTATGGTTAACACCGGTTGTCAACTTAAAATGATGTAGAATCTCACAGGAGACCAATCTCTGGGCATGTGTACGAGGGTGCAGGTTAACTCGGAGCAGGTTAACTGAGGGAGGGAGACCTACTCTAACTGTGAACTGACCCAGTATACGCTTCTCTCAGCTTCCTGACTGTGGATGCGCCTCACATCTCCACTGCCCAAGCTTCCTGTCATGATGGATTGTGCCCTCCAACTGTGACCGTACATTACCCCTTCCTTCCTTCCTTCCTTCCTTCCTTAAGTTTCTTTTCGTTACTTATTTTATCTTTGCAATGTGAAAAGTAACTAGTACTCGGGAGGCAGAGACAGGTGGATTTCTGTGAGTTTGAGGCCAGCCTGGTCTACAGAGTGAATTCCAGGCCAGCCAGGGATACATAATGAAATCTTGTCTTCAAAAAAGAAATTTAAAAAAAGGAACTGTCATCAGGTGTGAGGCCACATGCCCATAATCCTGAAAACTTGGGATGCAAAAAAAAAAAAGCAATAGGATCAGGAGGTATGGGACAACCTTGGCTACACAGGGAAGGAGTTCAAGGCAATACTGACTAGGTAAGACTCTGTTTCACAAAAAATATATAATAATAACTGGGAACTGGTAGGATATCTCAGTGGATAAGAGCACTGGTTGTTCTTGCACAGGATCCAAGTTTGGTTCCCAGGACCCAAATGCAGCTCATGACCATCTTTTAACTCCAGTTCCATATCGAGGACTAAGGGGGTCCAGCCCCTTGATAGTCCCCTCCCAGGGTCCGGGAAGAATCTACAAGCAGTTGATAATTAATCTTTGATGAGAAGAAATGAATCTATGTACACGAAACTCCTTAGTCCATACACTTTATTATTCTGTGTCAGTTATAAGCTTATATTCTGCTCTCATATTTAGGTCATTTTTAGCCTGATTTCTCTCTACACTTGTCTGCGATCCCCTCTAGGTTCTATCTTAATTCCTTCATCTAGTTCTGCCCCTTCTAGGTTCTCATCCATCTTGTTCCTTCCCATATCATCTCCTCTCCCATCTCCTTCTCTCTCCTCATCTCGTTCTTCCCCATCTGGCTCTTCTTCATCTTCCATCTCGTTCCTCTAGTACTCTCTTTTAGCCCTTCAATCTACTTCTTTTCCATTTCAGTTTATTCCTCTCAAGTTCTTACCCATCTAGTTCTTCCATTCTCTTTTCTCTTCTCTGTCCTCCATGTGCCCCGGAAGTCCTGGTATATATACACTTTCAAGCAGTAATCCCTTGGCAGTGCAAAGCCAGGCTTCCAGGGTCAAACTGAGGAATGATAAGAATCACATAGAGAGGCAATAACTGTTAATTATCATTTGCAACCCCAAAGGGAAGTGACCAATGGGGAAATGAATTAACTAAAGGCTAAATTCAGGTAATATCTAAGAAGAGGGCTCTTATGGGCTCAACTATAATCTTAAACGTGATTGGTAGAAAGTGTTAAGAATCTATAAGTTGCTAGGTCAATGGGAGAAAATAAAACTTCTTTTTTCCTGTGGCTCCTATCTGTCCAAGCTATCTGCCATTTTTCTGCAGGGTGGGGCAAAGTGTGCTCAGTCGCTAGGCAACCTGTGTACAGCTAGATGCCTCTGGTGATAGTTAAAGGGAGATCTGGGGAAAAGGTTTGGGAAAGGAGGAAGTAATGCTTAATTGGCACATCCGCCAGGCCTTCTCAAACAAGTAGCCCGGATGCTTAAGTCTGTTCTTAGAGAGTACAGAGGTATCTCTGATAAAGTACTTTCCTCCATCTGGGGATGGACATGGCCGGATGCTGCTAATGATGATAATTACAGGGAGGCTTGAACTGGGGTTCTGGCCGAGCATAGCTGTCAGCGCAGAAGGTTATCTAAATATTCCTAGAAGTGGTTAGATAAGGAGTTAAAAGTCTATAAAGTTAGTAAGGCTGTAAGAAAGGAGGGTCCGAGCTAAATTGTGTAAAGCTATTACTTAACATCCACCTGAGCTAGGTGGTATCTCCTTGAGGAATTTATCTTAAATCAGGAGACTTGCATGTGGACTGTTATTACTGCTAGTCCTTGAAAGTGGCCAGGGGAGATATCTGATTCCAGATAAAGCCTTTCCTGAGGCTGTTCTCCAAATACCTGGAATGTGTATGTCCAGAGAATGATCAGTCCACACTGTTAGCCCTTCTTAGGGAAAAGTCAATTGGGAAACCTATGAAGGCACACATGGTTTTCATAACAGAAGACAGCTGATATGTAATAAGCCAAGTAACACCAAAAACTCCTTGGGATTTGGCTTCCTCTGGAGGAATTCCCTGATCCCTCCAGGTAGTGACTTTGCCATAACCAGCTGAGTTCTTATGATATATTCCTGCGGCCTACAGCAGTTCCAGGGGATCTGATGTCCTCATCAGAGGCTCTCCCAGACACTTTGCTCACATTGTACACATACACAGCTACAGGCAAAATTCCCATACACTTAAATAAATCATTGAATTCTCATAAATAAGGAGTGTTTGTTTTGTTTAAAGTAATTTTTTATGAATACAAAATGATACATTTGGTACATTTACATGTTGGTGAGGATATCATAGTAAAGGCTACCAACTAAATAGATACTCGCTTGAAATGCTCCTTTCTAGACTGGCAATAAATTAAACCTAGTTGTCAAATAAAGATTGCACTATTGTACATGAAGGTGGAACACAGGAGGATGCATGTCAGGTTTGTCGGTGTCCAGTTGGCCAATATTTCTTCAGTAGTTTCTTTTGCATCTTTTATCAAGTTAAGTAAATAAAACTGTAGTTGATGTTTGTTTGAAACTTCAGAGTGAAATACAGAATTATGACGTGAGTACGCTCTCAATCGCTATCTTGTCTTTGATTAGGAACAAACAGTTATACGACATGATGCAGAAGGAAATCCGGATCCCCGTTACGAATATCCGGTATGTAACTCTTGTTTAAAGCAGGTCCAGTTAGGAGCTACAAAATCAGCCTGATGAGTTAGTTCAGTGATGAACATTCTCATGGTTTTCAGCCCGGCACTACAAAACAATCAAACTAGAAATTTAAAAAAAAAAAGAAAAAAAAAAGCAGTAGCTGTTATTTATCTTCATTCTTTTCTTGACTTCCAAAGCTTATGTCTACTTTTTCAGCAATAAAATTGTTGGTCATAGCGATGTGGAGAGAAAAATGCTAGTTTTGGATTATTGAGACTATAACACAATATGAAATTTCAGGAGACCCTGTCAAGTATGTATATTATATAGAAATCATTAACATTTCACTATTGTGTTGTAGCTATCTTTTTGTTGTGGAGGCATGAAATTGTTTTACCTTGACATATTTTTTTTACTTGTCATAATTTTGAACTGGTACCAGAACAAACGAGAGATGTAAAAGCGGTGACCTGAATAAAGAATAGTATTTACCGGGAAAGGGGCGTTGGTGACTTCAGTTGCTCACGCACTGAGTCCACCACACACCAACAGACAGCTCCAGAGCCATGGCCACACACATGGCCCTGGGTAAACTCAGTGGGTCACAGAATAAGACTAATAGACATGAACATGAGAAAAAAGATGTAGGGGGGCCTGGATGGGCAGAGAGAGCAGGGAGATGGGAAAGGTCGGGGTGAACATGGTTAGTATGAATTGTGTACATGTGTGAGATTCTCAAAGAGCAAATTTAATGAAGAATAAAAAAGAAATTAATTGAAGATTACTCAGTAAGATCCTATAAACCAGTCATGGTGGCATATGCCAGATCCCAGCACTCTGAGAGGCAGGGACAGGAGGACCTGGAGCCACTTGGGAGTCAGGGACAGGAGGATCAGGAGTTTCTGCTGCTGAGTCCAGGCCAACCTGGGCTTCATTTTCTGTTTCTGTTGTAAAGATCTTGTCATAAGTTCAGTGCTAAGCAATAATAAAAATGTGCCTCGTCTACAAAGGGAGTTCCAGGACCAGAAAAACCAAAACCAAACAAAAGCCTCCCTATAATAATAATAAAAGTGCAGATGGGTTGGAGACACAGCTCAGTGGTACTTGCTTACTTAGTACCTGTAAAGCCCTGGCGTGGCTCTCCCAGATGCTAACTTCATACTGTGGTAACCCACATAAAAACAGTTCATGCTCTCCCAGTTGCTCACCTGGCCGATCTTGCTTCCCACAGGGCGGACGGAGGAGTCTGTAACAACGGTTTTGTTATGCAGATGACTTCAGACTTGATTAATGAGAGGATAGACAGACCAGCCCACTTCGACATGTCCTGCTTGGGCGCGGCCACCTTGGCCGGCCTTGCTGTTGGTACGTGAGGTCTTTGTAAAAGTGAGCGCTTTCTTGGAAGCTGTTTCTGCAATAGCACTGCTCCTCTGCAGTCCCAGAGCTAGAGAGAGCGTCTGGAAGGCGTGTGTGTGTGTGTGTGTGTGTGTGTGTGTGTGTGTGTGTGTGTGTGTGTACATAGACCTCTGGCTCACCCGTTGTCCTCTGACCTCCTGGGTGGGCGTGTCAGCCTAACCGTCCTAACTTTACTACCTCGAAGAACTGTGAGGTGAGGACATTTCAGGGTCAGCTGCTTTGGGGATGCAAGGGATGGTCTTGGGATGAACTTTCTCAGTGTACAATATTAAAGAAAAGAACCGTGAGATGGGTCTTGTTCAGGGGGGGTCTCTTGAAGTGTGGAAACCACCATAGTTACCCCTTGTGGTGGACACAACAAGGAAAAGTGAAAATGTAGAGCCAGAGGGCAGGGTCAGGACCAAGAGGTGAAAATGATAGTGCTGAGAGGAAATCGTAGCTAACCCAACCTAACAGGGTACTCCTGAAGCAGGCAAGGGTTACCAGATAGCGCCTGGGGTGAACCTTGAGGCCCAGAAGTTGTGACATTGTTAATAAGAGATCGGATGCGTTGCAGTGTAGAGTTTGAGGGTGTTTGCCCCGAGACCCATCCTCGTTTTGGAAATCAGCCGTTCCTTTACTTACGGCTTTTGTTGAGTGCCTTCTACAAGCCACATCCCTGATCTCTGGTGGGATCAGGCAGATGCAGCCCGGGTCAGATCTGTGATAAACCCAGCAGAGACTGATGGTGGGAAGCCACTGGGTAGAAGTTCCGGAAGAGGGAGCTGTGGCCTGGCGTCTACCAGAGCAGGGTGGGGGAGAGTGAGAAGTGGGTGGTTCCAGAGACAAGAGGCTTTGAGATGAAGAGGCTTTTCCAAAGGAAAGCACTGCTGTGGAGGGAAAGAGGGGTGCTGCTGGGCGCCACAGTGAGACCCAGGCACAGTGATGCACATGTGTGCAGGCACACACACACACACACACACACACACACACACAGATATACACAGATACACACAGATACACACACACAAAGACACACACACACACACACACACACATAAATACACACAGATACACACAAAGACAAAACAGATGCACATAAAGACACAGATACACACACACAAAGACACACAGATACACACAAAGGCACACACATGTTGGGCAGTGATGGCACGCCTTAAATCCCAGCACTTGGGAGGCAAATCCAGGTGGATCTCTGTGAGTTCGAGGCCAGCTGGGCTAGTGTGAGTTCCAGGACAGTCTCCAAAGCTACAAGAAACCCTGTCTAGAAAAAAAACAAAAAAATAAATAAATAAAATAAGACATACACATAGGGCGTTGGTGGCGAACGCCTTTAATCCCAGCACTCGGGAGGCAGAGGCAGGCGGATCTCTGTGAGTTTGAGGCCAGCCTGGTCTACAGAGCAAGTTCCAGGAAAGGCGCAAAGCTGCACAGAGAAACCCTGTCTCGAAAAGAAAATAAATAAATAAAACAGAAGAAGAAGAAAAAAAGACACAGATACATACACACAAAGACAAACAGATAAACAGATGCACACGCACAAAGACATAAATACACACACACACGCACACAAAGATACACAAATACTCTGATTAACACACTCAGGAGGCATGAGCTTTATCTATTTCGTTAAATCTATATTCCAAACTTTTGCTTCTCTCTTAGAAACATATAGAGTATGGATAGCCTCTGTGTTTTCTAAATTTACCTAGAAACTGGTCTGTTCCACACATATTTAATAAAATGACACACATATACATGTTACCCTAAATATAAATAATAAGTTCCAGAAATAAAAGTTTTAAAAAATATATATTATTTATTTACTCTATAGGCAATCTTGCCATGTAACCTAGGCTGACCTCAAACTCAAAATCCTTTTGTCGCAGCCTCTCAGGGCTGGTATTAAAGAAACGAGTTACCAAACATACAAAACATTTGTTTTCATGACTAGATTTATTTACTGATATATAAATTAAAACTATTAGTAGTTGTTTAAAACCCTTTATGAGCCAGGCAGTGATGGCGCACACCTTTAATCCCAGCACTCGTGAGGCAGAGGCAGGCGGATCTCTGTGTTTGAGGCCAGCCTGGCCTATAGAAGAAGTTCCAGGACAGGCACCAAAACTACACAGAGAAACCCTGTCTCGAAAAACCACAGGGGGGTGGAGAATGAACAAATTAAAAAGAAAAACCACAAAAAAAAAAAAAGAAAAGAAAAAAAATCCTTGAAGTTGAGCCTAGTGTATTGGCACACATCTTTAATCCCAGCTCTGGGGAGTGGGCAAGACAAATCTCTGAGTTCAAGGCTAGCCTGGTCTACAGCCAGGGCTGTACAGAGAAACCTTGTCTTGAAAATCCAAAATAAACAAATAAATAAATGAGTACTTAAGTAGTGAGCTTCCTGACAAGACATCCTAGCACTTGAGGCTATGATACAGTTACAGATGTGTGCTTTTGTTTGTTTGTTTGTTTTGGGGTTTTTTGTTGTTGTTGTTTTTCGAGACAGGGTTTCTCTTTATAGCTTTGGAGACATTCCTGGATCTCGCTTTGTAGACCAACCAGGCTGGCTTCGAACTCACAGAGATCCACCTGGCTCTGCCTCCTGAGTGCTAGGATTAAAGGCGTGCGACACCAGTGTACCACCACAGGCTGGCTTCTTTTGTCACTTTTTTTTTTTTT